TTGTGCTCAAACTCTGTTGATTCAGGCTTTTTGGCATGTTGTCACATACATATGCAGGCGTATTTTGTTGGCCGATAGTATAGGGATGTAACACTGATCTACTAAATTAGTATAGAGATTAGTGGGGTGTAACGATTCACCGATACATCGGTCCACGATACGATGATCGATACTCAGCGTCTGTATCGCGATAAAAACGCTACGGATGTTAAACAGTGAATAAGGCAAGCTAAACTATATACTAAAGCACATATATTATTTTAATTTATTTTATTTTATTGTGTGAACTTTCTTTTATTGTAAGAACTCCCTTTCAGTATCACGTAAATATCCTGAGATGTCGTAGAATCTGGGTCAATATGTGGCGCACTTGTATCCCTATAGTATATCTACAACGTTCTTCGACCATTCCTATAGCATTCCTAGAGCATTCTTACACCATGCTTATAGCATCCCTATAGCATCCCTAGAGCATTCTTACACCATCCCTATACTAGCATCCCCCTATAATCCATAGAGCATTCTTGACACCATCCCTATAGCATCCGCTAGAAGCAATTCTTACACCATCCCTATGCAAATCCCTAGAAGGCATTCTTACAACCATCCCTATAAGCATCCGCTAGAGGCATTTCTTTTACACCATCCTATAGCATCCCTAGAGCATTTTTACCCCATCCTATAGCATCCCTAAGAGCATTTTTACAACCATCCCTTAGCACCTAGAGCATTCTTACAACGCATCCTAATAGCATCCTATAGCATTCTTACACCATCCCTATAGGCATCCCTAGAGCATTCTTACACCATCCTATAGGCATCCTCCGCTACGAGCATTCTTTACACCATCCGCTATAGCATCCCTAGAGCATTCCTTACACCCCCATGCCCTATAGCATCCCTATAGGCCATTCTTACACCCATCCCATAGCATCCCTAAGCATTACTTACACCATCGCTCTATAGCATCCTAGAGCATTTCTTACACCATCCCTATAGCATTCTTGACACGCATCCCTCATAGCAGTCCCTAGAGCATTCTTCAGACCATCCCATAGCATCCCTAGAGGCATTCTTACACGCATCCCTAATAGCATCCCTAGAGCATTCTTACAACGCATCCCTATAGCAATCCTTAGAGGCATTCTTTAAACCATCCCTATAGCATCCCTAGAAGCATTCTTACATCCATCCCTATGAGCATTCTTACACCATCCTATAGCAATCCCTAGAGGCATTCCTACACCATCCCTATAGCATCCCTAGAGGCATTCTTACACATCCCTATAGGCATCCCTAGAGCATTCCTTAGCAACCATCCTACCTAGCATTACCTTAGAGCATTCTTACACCATCCATATAGGCATCCCTAGAGCATTCTTACAGCCATCCCTATAGCATTCTTAACACCATCCGCTATAGCATCCACCTAGAGGCATTCTTACACCATCCCTATGCATCCCTAGAGCAATTCTTACACCATCCTATA